TTTTGTACAGAGTGAATGATATAATAAAGGCTACCTTTTTATTACAGGACTTGTCCCTAGTAGTTATTTTTGTGTACCTAGATAACGGGTTAGATCCCACCAGCTTTTCTGCTAACACAAGAGTGAAAAGGGGTGATCTTGCCCAATTTTCCTCCTTGATGCCACTGTGTCCCATGATTCCTCGCATAGCCTTGGGGATCAAAAGGAGACTATTGTCCTCTTTGCATCAAAGGAAGTACTGATTGGATCCAACCCATTGCCTTCCGGTTAACTGTGGCCTACATGGTGAAAAAGGGTGTGGAATGGTAAGGTAATGGTATGATACAGCCAGATCTCGGAAGCTAATTGAGTTCGGTACTTGGATGGGGGACCACCAAGGAAGTATCTGCAGAGGAAGGCAATGGCAAACCACCGCTGCTTCTCACTTGCCTTGAAAGCCCCTAGCTGGGTTTGCCATGTCAGTTGTGCCTTGGTGGCATGTACGTACACACGGAACCTTAAGCCAACATCATCAGATCCAGTTTGGTGTAGTGGTTAAGTGCGCGGACTCTAATCTGGGAGAACCGGGTTTGATTCCCCACTCCTCCACTTGCATCTGGCTGGATGGCCTTGGGCAAGCCGTAGTTCTGTCAGAGCTGTTCTCTCAAGGTGTATCTGTCAGAGCTGTTCTCTCAAGGTGTATCTGTCAGAGCTGTTCTCTCAAGGTATATCAAAGAAACGGAAAAGTGGGCAGTCAGAACCATAGATAAGGAGGTGTGAACATAAACCATGGAGCTTGTATCCTTGATTAGGAGGTGGGAACTGGGTGGGACGTGCTTTGTTGCTTGTTTACGCTAGACCTCCAGCACTTCTACTTCCAGAGAGCCAGTTTGGTGCAGTGGTTAGAGTGTGGACTGTAATCTGGAAGAACCAGGTTTGATTCCCCACTCCGCCACATGCAGCTGCTGGTGTGACCTTGGGTCAGTCATAAGTTCTTTCAGATCTGTTGTCTCAAGAGCCGTTCTCAAAAGAGCTCTCTGAGCCCCACCTACCTCACAGGGTGTCTGTTGTGGGGAGGGGGAGGGAAAGGAGATTGTAAACCACGCTGAGACTCCGAGTGAAGGGTAGGATATAAATCCAGTCTCCTCCGCCTCCTCCTCCTTCCTTACTACTCAACTCCTTCATTTCTTTATCTGCTCATTTTCTGTGTCAGGGAGGCCACATCAAGGGATAAGTCTTAGAACACACCTGTTCAGAGGATTCCTCCCTTCCGAATCTGTTTTCTTGCAATATGCAAGGAACGAGGGAGCTCAGGAAAAGAAGAAACAAAGTAGAGGTGATAGAGAGGAAGTCTTTAAAGAGGTACGCAGGAGATGGACTGAGTCAGCAAAATGTTTGGAAGATGTAGTTGTTTAATCCTTTGGGGGTCATTGTATCTGCAGGCTGGTGATCTGTCTTAGTTTCCCTTTTCTGAACATCTAGTTTCATGTGTTAGGTGTCCTGTCAAGGAAAAAGAGAAATTCAGTTTTCTAAGTTCCTCGGTAGCCTGGAAAAACAGATCTCTGCAGAGCACACATTTCCAAGCAGAATACTCAAGTGATACTGTGAGTTGGACAACATGAAGACACCACTAATCAGGCATCTGGTACAGTGCTAGGATGTGTCAATGTTCACAAAACAGGCCTATGAAAATCAAACTTTATTGTCAGTACTCACCTGTCACATTGAGCACCTCATTATCTCAATTCCTTGCAGTTCAAAGTGACCATTGTTTTTAACTGCAGGCTGTGGAAGGTCAGTAGTTCAGCAGTTCAAGACCCGGGTGCCGCAAGACGGGGTGAGCTCCTGTCTCTAGTTCCAGCTCCTGCCAACCTAGCAGTTTGAAAGCAAGAAATTGCAAGTAGATAAATAGGTACCACTTCGGTGGGAAGGTAACAGCGTTCCGTGCACCTTGGTGTTTAGTCATGCCGGCCACATGACCACGGAAACGTCTTCGGACAGCGCTGGCTCTTCGGCTTTGAAACGGAGATGAGCACCGCAACCCTAGAGGCGGATTCGACTGGCTTTCGAGCAAGGGAACCTTTACCTTTTTAACTATGCTTAAGGGGCCATGGTGGCCCAGAGGTTAAGACGCTGAGCTGCAGCCTGGAAGGTCGGTAGCTCGGCAGTTCGAGACCCGAGTGCCGCGTGACGGAGTGAGCTCCCATCTCTGGCCCCAGCTCCTGCCAACCTAGCAGTTCGAAAGCAAGAAATTTCAAGCAGATAAATAGGTACCGCTTCGGTGGGAAGGTAACAGCGTTCCGCGCGCCTTGGTGTTTAGTCATGCCGGCCACATGACCACGGAAAGAGTCTTTGGACAGCGCTGGGTCTTCGGCTTGGAAACGGAGATGAGCCCAACTCCCTAGAGACAGATTCGACTGGCATTCGAGCAAGGGAAACCATTACCTTTTTAAACTATGTTTAACATAGCAGTTCTAACATGAGAATATTATTAGTGAGCTGCTGAAATTGCAATGGGACAGTCGGAGGAGCTGGATTGACCCTTAGAAATCGTTTTCTTAAGCTCAAAAATGAAATCTCTAAAAAGCTATTCTAACACTTTGGAAATGCAGTGTAAGAACGTAGAGTAACATAGTCCTAAAGTGCTATTCTAGGAAGCCATTGTAGCACCTAGGAAATGGTTTGTGCTCATTTGATACCCTTCAAATATGCCATACTAGTGATAACTCTGTCCCCTCTTCCTGTCACATGACTCTGATGTCTTGCGACATCCTGTCTTGTGCTTGCAGCTCGGTGGATCCCATGGTCAGTAGGTTTCTGCTTTGCAAAGGCTGAAGACCCTGGTGTACTAGTGATTAGACTGTTGTCTTAGAATATCCAAGTTCAACTCCCCATCCTGCTATGAAGCTCACTGGGTGATCTTAGGCTGAAAGTAACTGGCCCATCTGTCACATTTTTCTTCTGCCCTTTCTCCAGAAAGCTCAGAACAGTCTTCATGGTTCTCCCCTTCATTTTTTTCTTCATGGCAACCGTGTCAGGTTAAGCGAATGCCCCAAGTTTACCGAGGGATTTTCAAGGCAGAATCACTGTTTGATCTCATAGTCTGTCCACTAACTACTACCTTATACTGACTAACCTACCTCGTAGAGTTGTTGTGAAAGTAAGAGAGAGGAGAATGATGTACACTGAATGAAGAGCAGAACTTGAGGGGCAACAGTGAGGAGGGGGCTTCTGGAGTTCTGGCCCCGCTGGTGGACCTCCTGAGGGCACCTGGGGTTTGGCCACTGTGTGACAGTGGGGAATTTCAGACAGCCGATATCTTCCATTTCAGGAACTGTTCACTAACGGTTTCTGTACTGACATTTCAGACAGAACCGTTTTAGTAACGGTTCCCTAACGGAATATATTGACCCTTACAGACATAAACACTCCTGTCCCGTTAGGGAAGCATTCCTGAGCAGTTTTACCTGCAAATTGCTTCCATGCGGTCTTCAATTTTCTGTACCGTTCCCGAAGTGCTACGGGGTGCTGTGTAAAATGCCCCCATAGCGCTTCCTCCGATGACGAGGTTTTCCCGCCCTTTTTTGCCTGCTCGGGCGATCTCCATCTTTTTTTAAACGTTCTTTTAAGAGCGCTATAGCGCTATAACACAACACCAAAACAGCACAATAGCGACCCCATTGGAATGCCTGGACCACTGAGATACATGAGATTACCACATCTGGGGAGGACAGGGATTTCAATGGAGTACAATGCCATGGAGTCCTCCTTCCACAGCATTCGCTATATGCCTGGGAACTGATATCTGTAGGCAAGAGATAAGATGTAACTCTGCAATGCTCCCTCTAAGCTGTGGAGTCCTGTGAGCAAAAATTCCACTTTGTGAGCTACTGGCATTAGAATTGTGAGCAAGTTATTTGGCTACTGCATAAATTAGTTTGCTCTGGAGCCATTGTTCCCGAGCTAAGACAAAAACGTGTGAGCTGGAGGCTAAAAAACTGAGCCAGCTCACACTAACTCAGCTTAGAGGGAACACTGGCTGAAAGTACAGGGGATCCCCAGGTCCCCCCTGGAGGCATGGCATCCCAAAATACTGGCCATCAAAAGGAGGATGCTGTTTGCAAGCCGGGAAGGAGCTAGTGTTTAAAAAAAAAATGCTCTCAAATGGTGCATTCCTGAGCTTCCACTTCCTGTTTTCAAATCCCCCAATCTCATGTATCTCAATGGAGTCCAGGTATTCCAATGGGGTCGCTCTTATGCTGTTTTGGTGTTGTGTTATAGCGCTATAGCGCTCTTAAAAGAACTTTTAAAAAAAGACGACGATCGCCCACGTGGTCAAAAAAGGGCGGGAAAAGAGAGCTGCACAGTCTGAAATGCCAAACCGTTTCAGAGATGGCTCCTTACCGGTAGGGGGGAGGTTGTGTGAAATGTCCGCCCCTGTACCAGTTTACTCCAAGACAGTACAATAATGGCTTTAAAAGGGTCATATGAAATTCCCCAGTGTGTTGGACTGGATGGGCCACTGGCCTGATCCAACATGGCTTCTCTTATGTTCATATGACAGATATGTGATAGTTAAGATGCTGGCAGCAAAGAACTGAATTTGTCACTACACTGTTCCCTAATGTGGGCAAACAGGGACCCTCCATCTCCGGTTCGGCGCCATCTGTGACAACCGTAACAACTCTTGAAATGTGTGCCTGTAATTACGAAGCCGTGACGAGAGTACCACCAAAAGGCAAAGGAGTCTTGTCTTGATCTGTGTAACGAATTGTGGCAGGTGCGGAAAAGGGCAGAAAGGAAATGCGCAAGCTGTCCGATTCAAGAAAACGTCGGGGCCTAAATACCTTTTCACGCTCGGCACAATTTCCATCACGCAGCAGTTGTAGATTAAGCCCTCTTCCAATTAAGGCGAGAGGACGGAGTCGCCTGCTTACCTAAAGCAAGTCGCCCCTGCGGTCCTTAAATATACCATCCAGCCTAAAGAAAGAAACCTGGAGATAAACAAGAGAGGTGATGAAATGGAGGCACCCATGCTCAAGCTCTTGCTGCTGGCGCTGCTTCCTTATGTCTCCTCTGCAGGAAACCTCTCTCGAGGATGTCGGGAAGATGTCGCCGCTTTTCTGTCTGACCTGAATGCACCAAACCCCAAAGCTTATGCTGTGAGGAGTAAGTAGCATTTTTAAAAGCACATCCGCGTAAACTGTGTTGGGCTATGACCTCTGCCGCCTTATGCTTCAAGACCAGAGTGAGGCAGTCTGAGGTGGAGGAAACTGGAGGTCGATTGTAAAGGGCAAAAATGGTCAGTTGTTTTATTTATTGTTATGTAATTGCAACCAATGGGGTTGCGGTGGCTCAGAGGTTATGTCACTGAGAGGCAGACCAGAAGGTCTGTAGTTCAGCAGTTCGAGACCCGAGTGCCACATGACGGCGTGAGCTCTTGTCTCTGGCCCCAGCTCCTGCCAACCTAGCAGTTTGAAAGCAAGAAGCTGCAAACAGATAAATAGGTACTGCTTTGGTGGGAAGGCAGCAGTGTTCCGTGCCCCTCGGCATTTAATCATGTCGACCACATGACCATGAAAACGTCTTCGGACAGTGCTGGCTTTTTGGCTTGGAAACGGAGATGAGCACCGACCCCAGAGTCGGATTTGACTAGCTTTCGAGCAAGGGAAACCTTTCCCTTTTCCTTTAATTACAGCCAACGTGTGTGGGAGTGTTGGGTTTCTCAGTCTTGGGTACCAAAATATCGTGGTTGATCTTAAAATATTCTTGGATTTAATAGCACTTTTCAATTGTTTTTGGAGGCTATGCTTATGTGATCGTTTCAACACACACAGTCGTACTTTTTTAATGTACTGAAAAGAGAATATGTGCATTGCGCTGTTTAGACAAACTGCAACCACACATATTCGCACACAACACAGTCTCCTCTCGTGCGTGGTTGGGGTGCCAAAAACACTATGACAGAAAAGAGCTACTGCTACTGAATGCAGAAATCACAGATGCAATGTACCTGTATTTGAACTTCCTGCCTTTAGATGTTGACCAAAAGTCTATGTCAACAGGAACGCACCTTTGATATTGAACATAGGAACATATGTTAATTGCATTAAACAAACTCATACTTTTGTTCAAGGCTGACTAGCTGGTGGACTGCAGAGCAGCCTCTTCGCCCCCACTTGTCCTCTGAGATTTTCATGTGGTTCTTCTAACAATCTGCCAGAAGTTTCATTTGTAAGAACAAAATGTTTTCAAGAGATTATAGTCCATTTTGCACAAGTGGCGCATAAATTTGAGGTCCCCAAAATTTATCAGTGGCGGGTGGGTCAGCTCTAGGCAGAGAAGGGCATATGATTGGTTAATGACACCAGCACCTCACCCTTGATGCTGCTAGCTAGTTGGTCGCTGTGTATTCGCATAGTACTGACCTCACCACCCACTGAGTGCACAACCGCCACTCATGAAGCCTGCTAGCAGGGGGGTCATCGTCCCTCCCTCTCAGTCACTTATTATCAGTGTCAGGGGTCATTTCGTAGAAAAAGAGGTGCAGGACCTCATTGGCATAACTCATTAGCGTAACTTATTTGCATATGCCACACCCCCTGACATCACCGGAAGCATGTCAGAAGGCAACACCCACCGCTCAGGCTCCACTGGACTGTTTTGGATTGCTAGCTATTGGGGGGGGGGAGGAACATGCAGATCTGTCCTTGCAGAGGAGGGAGAGCTTGTACCTGAATAAAACTTGGTCTTAAAGGTACCACTGGACTGTTTTGGACTGGGGGGGGGGGCGGGGGGGGGCTCTGTAATTTACCTGGCTGCTTCTTGCTCTGACTGAGGGCCACTGGGAGCAGGGGGTGGGGCTTGTTGCATGTGCCCGCCCCTTGGGCTCTTTACTGCCAGAGCTCCGCTCCTGTGCGCTCCTGCAGGAAATGACCCCTGGTCAGTGTCCCATTTTCACCTTCTGCCTTGACTTCTGCTACCCCACGATACACTTTGGAGAACAGAGTAGCTGCTTAGCCATACAGAATATGCTGCTGGATCCCATTCAAGGAGTCCTCTCTTAAATTCATGCATTTGGTCACCATCTGGGCTTAGTCCTTTCTGTTAGTGGCCCGACTTCTTTGGAACACTGTTCGGTTTCGCAAAGAGCGGGGCGGACCCTACCCCTAAGTCCTTCCATTTGACTGAGCAAAGTCTGAGGTCTTCCTCCAGCCTAAAGAGACTTCCTCCAGCCAGGGTCTCTTAGAGTTCAAGAGTTATTTGGTCCAGGCTTCATATCCACAGAAGGCCTCAAATTTAGTGGCCTGGGCCACTTCTGGAAGGGGTGGGGACCTCGGCTGGACATGGTTCCCAGCCTTGCTGCTGCCGCCAGAGTATAATAGGCTTACCAACCTCCAGGTGGGGCCTGGAGATCTCCTGACACTACAACTGATTTCCAGACTATAGAGTCCTGTTCCTCTGGAGAATATGGCTGCTTTGGAAGGTGGACTCTATGGCGTTATTTCCTGCTCAGGTCCCTTCCCAAGCTACACCCCCAAATCTCCAGGAATTTACCAACCTGCTTTTGGCAAACCTAGAGTATAATATTTGGCATAGTGTTTAAGTGCTCGGACTCTAATCTGGTAGGACCGGGTTTGATTCCCCACTCCTCCACTTGCAGTTGCTGGATGACCTTGGGCAAGCCATAGTTCTGTCAGAGCTGTTCTTGAAAAAGAGCAGTTTCTGTCAGAGCTCTCTCAGCCTCACCCACCTCACAGGGTGTCTGTTGTGGGGAGAGAAAGGGAAAGGAGTTTGTAAGCCGCTCTGAGACTTCGAGTGAAGGGTGGGGTATAAATCCATTCTCTTCCTCCTCCTCTTCCTCCTCCTCTTCTTCTATTCATAGTGCTACAGGTGGTGTGGACTGGTAATGGGACACAGGTTTAATTTCAGACAGATGATATAATCCGGAAGAGGAACGGTTCCCAGACGGTTTCTGGTCTGTCATTTCAGACAGAACCGTTTTAGAACCAGTTCCCTACCGGAATATATTTGTAATTTCAGACACAAATGCTTCTGTCCCATTTAGGAAACGGGGCTGAAGCGTTTTACCTGTCAACCGCTTCCAAGTAGTCTTCAGTTTCCTCTCCCGGTTCCGATGCGCTTTTCCCCACTGTTTTTCGCCCGCACAGGTGATCTCCGGCTTTTTTTTTTAACGTTCACTTTATATCAACCCCATTGGAATGCCTGGAGTGTTTTGTTACAGTGCTATAGCGCTATAAAGCGAACATTAAAAAAAAGCCGGAGATCGCCCTCATGGGCGAAAAATGGCGGGGGAAAAGCGGTGCAGTCTGAAATGGCAAACCGCTTCAGATCCAGCTCTTTACCGGAAGGGGAAAGCCATGTGTGAAATAGCAGCCCTATACCGGTTTACTCCATGACGGATCAAAAACGGCTTCAAAACGGGTTAAAAAGGGTAATATGAAATTCCTCGTTGTGTGGTGAATGTCATCTTCTTTCAGTCCTGTCAGCGCATCTGTGTGACTGTGTGTATAACCTCATTTGTGGATAACCTCAAAAGTCTTAACCTGAGGCCCTCTGGGAATGTGAGGCCAAGGTCAAATGGCCCTCCTTGAATCCCCAGTGATAAGCCCTGGCTCCAACTTGAGTAACCTTGGAGGGTGGTTGGATCCACCCAGGAGTCAGGCCACCTTACCTAGACAGGACTTTGGAGTAAAGTTTGTGGTGTCTAGCTTCGTAGGGCTCTTTCCTCGATCATGTTATTATGTGTGGGAAGCTTTTATATTACTTTGAACGTGTTTCCTGTCTTTGTCTCTGAGGTAGCTTTGGCTGGTGCCTTTGAGTCGCTGTGAATGATGAGAAAAGGCAGGATAAAAACGTTTTAATAAAATGGAAGCTTTTGTTCCATTAGTGGGTGGACGATGCTCAGCCTCTTTGCTTTGACATTTCCAGTGTATGATTCTGTTGGGAAACTCGGCAGCAATATCCTTAGCGGGAACACGGACAGACTGGGCTGTTACAGCGAATGCGTTTCTGTGGAGGCTCCTTCCGGAAGATTCCGGGGGCAGTACTGCAAACTCCAAGTACAGCAGGTGTGTCGCTTCAGTACACAGCTATTGTTTGGTGAAGGGCTGTATATATATTGGTATTTTTTTCCCTTTAGGGGCAACTGTAGCAATGGAATTCAAAATGAAGACAGATATAACAGTCTAAGGGTGAAAACAGACACAAATAAGGGGGGGGGGTTGTTCTGTTTGGCGTCCCCATCTTGATTCCTCCTTCCTGACCAATGTTTTGATTCTTTTTCTTATGTCTTTGTATTTTAACACTTGTTTTAAAGGGTTTTGGCTAGGGGAATAGGGGTTAATTATTTTTAAATGCAAATCTATTGTGTATGTTTTAATTTGTTAGCCGCCTTGGTGGCCCTTGTGAGGGCAGAAAGGTGGGATATAAATTTTGTAAAATAAACAACAATCCAAATGTGGTAGAAACAGCTTAAATACTTTTTCTCTGCCCAGAAAACCAATCTTTTAAGATTGCAGTGAATGTGTATCTAAAACCAGTTCTACTGCTCCTCGGCCTCGAGTTGCCAACCACTAGGGGCTGTCAATGACAAAAACAACCGTGATGTTGTATTATGAAAAAATTATTTAGGCTTCAGTTCTGCAGTGAATATATTTCTTCATCCCATCATGAAAACATACGCATACACACGACGGAAAATGTATATAAATCGTTTCACATAACAGCTTTTTCTGAGTGTGCTGCGTGAATGACACTTGTTTACATATCACTAGAAAGAGAGTAAAACAGTAAAATTGCCAATTTGTATTATCAGTCATTAGGGTGTGGAGCTGCAGTGGCTCAAGTGGTTAAGACGCTGAACTGCAGGCTGTGGAAGGTCGGTAGTTCAGCAGTTCGAGACCCGGGTGTGCCGCATGATGGAGTGAGCTCCCGTCTCTAGTTCCAGCTCCTGCCAACCTAGCAGTTCGAAAGCAAGAAATTGCAAGTAGATAAATAGGTGCCACTTCAGTGTGAAGGTAACAGCGTTCCGTGCGCCTTGGTGTTTAGTCATGTCGGCCACATGACCACGGAAACATCTTCGGACAGCGCTGGCTCTTCGGCTTTGAAATGGAGATGAGCACCGCAACCCTAGAGTCGGATTCGACTGGCTTTCGAGCAAGGGAACCTTTACCTTTTAGAGATCTCCTGGAATTACAACTGACTACCAGACTAGAGGGATCAATTGCCCTGGTGAAAATGGCTGCTTTGGAAGGTGAACCCAATGGCATTATACCCTGCTGAAGTCCATCCCTCCTAGGGATGCCAGCCTCCAGGTGGGACCTGTGGATCCCCTGGAATTACAGAGATCAGTTCTCCTGGTGCAAATGAAGGCTTTGGAGGGTGGACTCTACAACTGTGTACCCCACTGAGGTCCCTGTCCTCCCCAGCCTCCAGCCTCAAATCTCCGGGAGTTCCCAAGCTGGATTTAATAACCTTACCCTCCTCCATCCCCTGCTGGTGACCAAGGGGGACCTCGCCAGTTGCCACCCTACTCTCTCCCGTCCCCAAACCCTGCCCTCCCCAGGTCCCACCCCTAAAATCTCCAGGTATTTCCCAACCCAGAGCTGTTGTCTCTCTGTTTTCACCTCACTGATGTTGGAAGTAGGTTGAATCTGCCTTTGTCTCCACGGCAGAAACCACAATTTTGAGCATAGGCCTGTCTTTAACTTCCAGTCACATGACTGGAAACTGTGTGGGAGGTCAGCGCATCCTGAGCCCTTTGGGGGTAGGGGTTTTACTGTCATAAGACTGCTCCAGAGGTTCAGTTGCTTGAAAAGTGAACACATACAGAGGGGAACAGGTTTGGTCCACTGACCCAGTTTGCTGTTCCTGTGACCTCTCTGTTCAGGGGAAGGGGCTAGATAGAGCCCTAGATTTGTACAAGTGTTTCTCCCCACACAATCAGGAATGCTTTGAAAAGCAAAGTCCTTGTTCGCAGTTACAGCTCCTGTGCAGGTACACTAATGCACATGTAGGCTCTGTGTGAACTGAACACGTGGTCAAGGGTGAGACCAGCAATTGTGATCCTCAGGGCTATTTTGGGGCAGGAAAACACAGGAACGGAGTTCCGGCTGGCTCCCGAGTTGGCCACGCCCAGCAGGAACTCATTAGCATAATAGACCACGCCCAACAGCAGAAACTCATTAGGATTGGCTACTTTAGGGGTGTGTGGCCTAACATGCAAAGGGGTTACTGCTACAAAAAATACCCTGGGTTTTGACAACTAACAAGGTAAACAGAATAAGAAGCAAAAGGTGGGTGTGGCTGGATAACCACACTTCTAGTAACATGGGGGTGCGGCCTAGTATGCTAATGAGCTGTGTTGTCAGGGGTGTGGCCTAATATGCTAATGAGTTTCTGCTGTTGGGTGTGGTCTATTATACTAATGAGTTCCTGCTGGGCTTTTTCTACAAAAAAAACCCTGGTGATCCTGCTTCCTTCTGTGTGCAATCACAGTACATGCAGTTGAATGAAGAAGGCTGGACTCCATATCATAAAACACAGTGGTTTCGTGGTCCTCGTGGTTCATTAACTAAAAGGAAATGTTACGATGACACGGCCAAAGTTAAGAAATGCATAGCCTAGAGTACCAGCGCAGGATTATCAAACACTAGCCCGAAAGTTTGGGCTCTGGTCTGGGTTCAAATCCCCATGAAGATCATTGGGTGGTAGAGTTCTGTCTCTCAGACTAACCTTTCCAGGTTTTCTTCTGATATTAGGATTGCCATCCTCCAGATGGTGGCTGGGGATCTCCCGGAATTACAACTGGTCTCCGTGTGACAGAGATCAGTTCCCCTGGAGAAAATGGCTGCTTTGGAAGATCAGCTCTATGACATTACTAGGGAAAAGGCCCGTTGTGGAAATAAATACAACGGCCTCTAGACACCCCGGCCTTGGACACTCAGTGTCCATATGCTGTGGTGACCTCAGCAGGGTATAATGACACTGAGTCCACCATTTTCTCCAGAGGAACTGATCTCTGCTACCTAAAGAACAGTTGTAATTTTGAGTGATCTTCAGCCCTCACCTGGAGATTGGCAATGAAGGTTCCCCAGAGGGAATGGTTGGTTTGGAGGGTGGAGTCTATGGCTTTGTACCTGTCTGAGGTCCCACGCCTCCTGAAACCTCACCCTCTCCAGGCTCCATCCCTCACATCTCCAGTAATTTCCCACCTGGAGTTGGCAACCATATCTCCTTCCCAGCCAATCATCAACCCACCTTTATTTCCCCCTCACTCTTCAGCTTTCCACCCCCCCCCACACACACCTGCAGCCTCTCCCGTGCTCTGAAGCCCTGACTGCTACGTCACATTGGCTGTCATATGGGGGCCACCTCAGCAGCATATAAGGATACAGAGCCCACCATTTTCTCCAGGGGAACTGATCTCTGCCATCTGGAAAGCAGTTGTAATTTTGAGGGATCTCCAGCCCTCACCTGGAGATTGGACACATTTTACCTCAGAATAGCAAACTGTTTAGAATGTTAGAGGCAAAAGCCAATCAAGTTGCATATGCAAACGACCTCTGTGTTCCAAGGCAAAGGCCAATGAGGCTGCATATGCAAATAACCTCTGTGTTCTGATTGGCTATGGGGAGGAGAGGAACAGCAAAATGTTTAGAATGTTGGAGGCAGGACTCAGGCAAAGCAGCCAGTGGATAGGGAGACCATCTGAATGACAGATCAGAGAGCAAACTAATTTTGGAGCGTGTGGAATGTTCTAGAGAAGTGCCACCACCATTCGGCTTTTGTTTACAAGGGAGATATGCTGCTGAGGCCCCTCCCCTCCTCAAACCCCACCCCCTCCAGGCTCCACCTCCCCAAAGCTCCAGGTATTTCCCAATTGAGAGCTGGCAACCCTATGAAGCATGGAGAGCTCCCGATATTATAACTGAACTCCCGGTGACAGAGATCAGCTCCCCTGGAGATAATGGCTGCCTTGGAGGGTGGACTCTATGGCATTATACCCCACGGAGGTCCCTCCCAAATCCTGCCCCCCCCCAGGCTACACCCCCAAATCTCCAGGAATGTCCCAACCTCGAGTTGCCAGCCCTATGTGATGAGAAAATGGGGTCACCCCAGATACACTCTGAGCCTAGTTACAAACTGGGAAGGAAAGCAGTGTTCCCTCTAAGCTGAGTTAGTGTGAGCTAGCTCACAGTTTTTTAGCCTCTGGCCCTCACATTTTTGTCTTCACTCAGGAAGGACGGCTCCAGAACAAAGTAACTTATGCAGTAGCCAAATCACTCAATCACAACTTTAAGGCCAGTAGCTCACAAAGTAGAATGTTTTGCTCACGAGACTCCACAGCTTAGAGGGAACATTGAAGGAAAGCTATTGCTAACTGGCTAGAAGGAAGGATTTTTGCAGGTCTGGCTAGTCTCACCCCTGCGGTGCCTCTCTTTCTTCTGCAAAACCATCGGTTCGTCCCATTTTGCGTGTGCCTGTGAAATCCTCGGATTTTTCCCCAAAGGTTTTCCTCGGCAGTCATTGAAATCCGTGCCTTTTTTTGGCATCCACTTCATAGGTTGCCTGCATCAACCCGATTTTCCCTTCAATTTATTCAGATAATAAGATAGCTATTAAAGAAAATTATGCCTCCTAGGACAGCATTGATTACTACAGTGGAGTCTGCGTACCCAGTTCCTGCTCTGACGAAGATGTCACAGAACTCGCTATCCTAGGTAAGTGAAGGCCCTCTTTCTGTAGCGACTTGTGGCTAAAGCTTTATCTGAAGCTCCTAACGTGTGCTCTGATCTTCTCTGTGTGTGTCCACATCTTTGTCAGCTTTCCAGGGCAACTGTTGGCCAGTGGTCAAGGCTGTCAATGATGAGGTTTTGGAGGTCATTAATTCATAGGGTCACCGTACATTAGAAAAGACTTGACAACACATCACACGCACCTGGTGGGGTAGGGACATCGGCATTTGTTGACCAAACCAGGATTTAAAGTGTTCCATCTTTGTGCTGAAACCTGATTTCACAAATGAACCCTATCTAACATAAGCCATGGTTTTGTGTTGTGTCTTCTCTGTCTCTTCTACATCTCTGTGAGAAGAATGGAAGGCGCGAGAGAGGGGACTTGTTTATTAAAATGCTGAAAAGTTTAAAATGGGGAGGGGAGAAATGTGTTTACCACTAGGATAATAAAATCTCTTTGTGCCGAATAGAAAAGTTTTCCAGAACATCAAAGAACAAACCTTTCCACTTCCTTTCTTGAATGAGCTGCTAAAGAGAAGCAATCATAACATACATAACATCCTGCCTGGGAGAGATTAATGTATTCTTTCTTGACAGATACATTTAAATTCAAGACCGTCTCTTTCCTACTGCCTGTCCCCTCTCCATTGGCTCTGAATTCGACGCTCTCCTATGTGTCTGTGGCCAGATGCGCAAAAGACCTTTTCCCCTTGGATGTGTTTGTAGCGGTTTGTCTGTGAGTAGGAGGGTGGGTGGCTCAAGTGGTTAAGACGCTGAACTGCAGGCTGTGGAAGGTCGGTAGTTCAGCAGTTCGAGACCCGGGTTGCCGCATGACGGAGTGAGCTCCCGTCTCTAGTTCCAGCTCCTGCCAACCTAGCAGTTCGAAAGCAAGAAATTGCAAGTAGATAAATAGGTGCCACTTCAGTGTGAAGGTAACAGCGTTCCGTGCGCCTTGGTGTTTAGTCGTGCCGGCCACATGACCACGGAAACGTCTTCGGACAGCGCTGGCTCTTTGGCTTGGAAACGGAGATGAGCACCGCAACCCTAGAGTCGGACTCGACTGGCTTTCGAGCAAGGGAACCTTTACCTTTGCCTTTTACTAGGAGGGTGGGAGGGCCTGGACCCTTCTAGAAGCACCTGTCACCCTGCAGTAATGAGTCTCTGTTTCTCCCAGCTTTGTTAGCATCTCCTTTCTCGTCTTGGCAAGCTCTGGGACGGTTTCTGAAGCATGGAGGAAAGTCAAGCACAGCTCCTCGGCATTGTCTTCCACAAATTATGGGAGCGTGTCTTCAGATAAAGAAGATGAGGGTAAATCTAAAGAAGAGATGAAGCGAAATGGGTTTTTATGTTGCTGGTTGCACTTGACAGTTCACAGCAGGGGTTGTTTCGTAGAAAAAGAGCTAGGGGAACTCATTAGCATAACTCATTAGCATATGCCACACCCCCTGACATCACCGGAAGTGTGTCATAAGGCCACACACCCCGCCCCCAACGGTCCCGGCCGCCGCCGCCGGCCTTGCAGCTCCACTGCCGAGCCCCATGAGGGGCCTGGCGACTATACCTCTCCTCAAAAAAACCAGTGCTTTTTTAAAAGTATGATGGCCAACGAGGGGCCCGGCGGTGGCCCTGCAAGGCCGGCGGGAGTGCGAGGAAGCCCTGCGAAGGCCCTCCCTGGCCCCAGGCAGGCAGGGGTGGGGAGAGGCAGGGAGGAAGCAACTTACCCTCCCTCTTCTCCTGCCTCCTCCTGGCTGAATGAGGGCCGGAAGCGGGGCGGCCGGAAGCAGGGGGCAGGGCTTCGTCATGTGCCCCCCCGTACCTCACCCGGGGGAACTGCGATCCCCCGCGATCCCCCCCGAAATGACCTCTGGTTCACAGCAAAGTTGTCCTTTTATTAACAGTAATCCACTTTGTTTTTACAAGGCCATTGGTGAACATTGTGTGTTAGAGAGTAACATAAAAAGGCAGGTTCTTGCCCTGAGGTGTTTACAATCTACTTTTAGACAGAAAGGGGGGTGGGGAGGAAAGTTAGCATGGTAGTTCACAATGGCTACTTTCCACAGGGAGGTTTTGCCCCAATCCCTAAATAGAGAATAATTATAAGTAAAAATACATGTATTTATTGCAGAGACATTTAAAAACATACAAGGGCCCAAATCAAGCCATATAACATGATAAAAGTAACATGTGCACAAGAGGAAACACTTATGACCTAACGTGTTTCGGCCCAGTAGGGTCTTCCTCAGAGGTCAAATGCTATATGGTACACATAGGCTCCTGTTACAATCAAAAGGCAGTGAACAAATCAATACAGGACCAAAAAAGGAATTTTCCAATATGAAATCAAATGACACAAGAAAAATATTATTTGTGAGGCCTCCTTGAAACTAGCCTTGTGTCAATTACAGATGTATACTAAGCTAAGTATATGCCTTCCAATTTTGGTCCAAAAAGTATGGGTGAAAACACCTAATGATAGCCAACGCGCCTTCAATGACTGCTTTATATTGACGGCACATTGGTTCTGAAGAGTGAAGGGAAAAGGGGGTGCCGCTGTTGCCAGCGCATGTCTGAACAGCCACAGAACCAGGAGGCAGTGTGAGTGTCCAGGAGGGTGGGGGACGGTGACCTCCCTTCTCCCCCCACCTGTTCTCAGCCCATGAAGGAAAAGGGATCCCTTGGAGGTTTCAGAAACAGCCTCTCCGTCAGGCCTTCCTCTCAGTTTGGTGGTTAAGTTCACGGACTCTAATTTGGGAGAACCAGGTTTGATTCCCCACTCCTCCACTTGCACCTGGCTGGATGACCTTGGGCAAGCCATAGTTCAGATAAGAGCTGTTCTTGAAAAAGAGCAGTTTCTGTCAGAGCTCTCTCAGCCCCACCTAACTCACAGGGTGTCTGTTGTGGGGAGGGGGAGGGAAAGGAGTTTGTAAGCCGCTCTCAGACTCTCTTGGGTAGTGAAGGGTGGGGTATAAATCCAATCTCCTCCTCCTCCTCCTCCTCCTCTTCTTCTTCTTCTTCTTCTTCTTCTTCTTCTTCTTCTTCTTCTTCTTCTTCTTCTTCTTCTTCTTCTCCCTGTTGCTTCTGTGGGAAATGCAGGAGGCATGAGAACTGGGTGATGGGAATATCTGGGGGTATCTGGGAAGGCAACAAACACAATAAGCAGAGAGAGGGTGCAAGAAGCTTTCTCTTTGCTGTGTTGGCATTCTGTTTGCCCTGCGTTTTTCAAATGAAGGAACATCCAAAGCTGGAATTCCCCCCCCCCCCCCCCGGTGGTCTCAAGTGGCACCATCAATTGGGCTACCTCAGTACTTTTACCACCTTGTTCTCCTGAACGTGTGAACTAGGCCAAGAAGGATACACACAAGATACTTGTTCCCTCTAGGCTGTGGAGTCTTGTGAGCAAAAATTCTACTTTGTGAGCTACTGGCATTAAAGCTGTGAGCAAGCAATTTGGCTGCTGCATAAATTAGTTTGCTCTGGAGCCCTCCTTCCTGAGCGAAGACAAAAAAGTGTGAGCTGGAGGCTCAGAAATTGTGAGCTGGTTCACACTAATTCAGCTTAGAGGGAACACTGGAGCCACCATCTCCTAGTGGTACCTTGGTCAGCTACTTTGGCTGCACAGGATGTGACTTCAAGGCACAGTCCTCTCAAGAAGAGATTTCTTGTTGTTATTGATTTCCCATTAATCAATACTGATGGTCCCCCATGCAATACCAGGCTGTACCTAGCCTTTAAAAGGAGACCTTCTAGGGTTGCCAATCTAGGTTAGGAAATTCCTGGAGATTTAGGGGGGGGAGAACTGTGGAGGGTGGGGATGGGGGGGGGGGCCCTCAGCAGGGGGTAATAGGGGTCTGCCCTCCAAAGCAGCCATTTTCTCCAGGGGGACTGATCTCTGCAGCCTGGAGATCAGTTGAAATCCCCGGAGGTCCCCAGGCCCCATCTGGAGGTGGGCAACCTAGGGACAGAATGTGTGTAAACATGTGCTGTAACAAAGGAATGAAAACTCCTGGTGGATTCCTTTCTTCTTGCTTAACTTTCTCAGGTACCTTGGTCTGGTTCCTCTGGTGTTTTTCCTTGCAAAAGAATCTTTCAGCCGTTTGGCTGGCAAAGCCTCCCAGGGATGTCTCCTCGGCTCTAGACGGGATCAGAGCCCTGAGTCTCCTATGGATTATTTCCGGACACACCAGTCAGATGGCGGCCTGGCAGAATTTAGGTATGGGCCACGCAGCTACCGACGCAGATACACTTCTGATTTAAAGCAAACTCGATGTTCTCTTTATGCACTCGCTTATCAAGCCGACGGCTGTTTTATGCCACGCTTGACATCCAGGGCTATGGTTCCGTGGGCTGGGACCCGCCGACATATAATCCGTGCTCTGTTTTTACAGGGCGTAATCAATTGTGGAGAGGCAGAGCAGGACAATGAGACCCTGGAAAAAGCTATAAAGTAGTTAATCACGGCGGCCGTGCCCACATGTCATAACCCACAGAGATCTGCCCATGATGAGCACCAACATGTTCCTGTATACCCAAACTCTGCTCCCTTCCCTTGTCTAGGTTTCGTAGCCTCCAGGTGGGGCCTGCAGATCACCTGCTAGGGCTGCCAAGCTGCGGCGGGGGATCCGTGCATCTTCACAGGATCCCTGCCGCGGGGGGCAGCGATATGCATTGCACCGCCATCGCCAGGATGTGACGCTACACGTCGCTCTGGCAATGGGACTCCAAACAGCCCCGTTGCCAGAGCGACGCGTAGCGTCACATCCTGGTGACGGCGGTGCAACACGTTTCGCCATCCCCCGCGGCAGGGATCCTGTGAAGGTGCACGGATCCCCCACCACAACTTGGCAGCCCTGTCACCTGCCATTACAATTGATCTCCAGATGACAAAAATCAGTTTTCCCAGAGAAAATGGCTGTTTTGGAGGGTGGACTCTATGGCACTGGACCCTGTTGAGCTACCTTCCTTCTCCAAACCGCACCCTCCCCAGGTTCTACCCCTCAAATTTCCAGGGATTTCCCTACCCAGAGCTGGAAACCCTACCTCCATCATATGTGAAATGAGATAAGAAGCATTCTGGGAAGTCTTGAATCAGCTCCCTGATGAATACAGGCCTCCCAGGCATGCTGGAGTTTGATTCTTCCCAACAGAATGGGATTCTAAACCTCTGTTTATTCTCAGTTATGTCAACACAGGGCCTGGTTGGTTAAGAACATAAGAGACGCCAATGTTGGATCAGGCCAAAGGCCCATCTAGTCCAACACTCTGTCACACAGTGGCCAAAAATACCAGGTGCCATCAGGAGGTCCACCAGTGGGGCCAGGACATTAGAAGCCCTCCCACTGTTGGCCCCCCCAAGCACCAAGAAGACAGAGCATCACTTGCCCCAGAGCCCCTATCTATACCTTGTGGCTAATAGCCACTGATGGTCCTCTGCTCCATATGCCTATCTAATTCCCTTTTGAAGGTTGGCTATGAGGGTGTGTTCACTTGCATGAAAAAGGAAACCCCTGTGTAAAGAAGTAAAAAAATGTAGGAGTCCCATGTTGCCTGCTCTGGACTGGGAAATACTGGAGGTTTTGAGGGTGGAGCCTGACCCTGAGGTGGGTGGGGTTTGGGGAGGGGAGGGATTTCAGTGGTGTATAAATGCCGTAGAATCCACCTCCCAAAGCAGGAATTTTCTCCAGGTGATCTAACAGAGCTGATCCCAGTAGAAGCCTTTGTGAGTTAGAGCCCACTTCATCAGATGTGCTGGAGCACATATCCATTAAGTTGATGCATATATAATGGATTTACACTCTGACGACGTGAGCGTGGAGTCATGAAATCTTAAGCTGGAATAAATTCTGTTAGTCTCTGAAGGCCAAACTAGACATTATACTTTTAAAACTTTTAAAAAGTCAGGTTCCCCAGATCCAGCTCACTTTCCCTGAAGCCACACAGCAGTCATGGGGAATGTCATTTTTTTAAAAATGGCAGGAGCCCAGTTCGGGTTGGTGTTGTAGTATGGGGGAAGGAGAGTCCCCTGCCTACACTCCCATGCCATTTTCACAAACCAAAACAGCCTGGTGTGAGGAGTTATTTTCCCACACTGCAGATCCAACAATCTGGACCCTAAGGTTCCACTGAACGCCTCTGTATTTAGCTGCTGCAGACTAATACAGTTGCCTTTCCAGAATAACCACAGTATAAAGAAGCTGTCCCAGCATCTTCTAGCTCTGAATTATGTCTCTATATGTTCCTTTTATGTTGCTGCAGATAATGTGCTGGAATGGGAAGACAAAGTGCTAAAAAACCCTATTTACATATATTCTCAAAGTGGGCCCTTTTATTTAGGCGTCGACACATTTTTCCTGATCAGGTAAGTAAACGGGTATTTATTACTGCCTTTATGGATGACCCTTCTGTCAATACACTGAGGGTGGTTTACAATTTAAAATACTAAAAACAAACACACCCAAAAGATACAGACAACAAAACAACGAAATATCAGAATTATCTCGGACGATTGGTGGTTCCCTCAGGAGCTGATGGCATTATAAGCTCCCTGGCTTGAACATCTCCTCAGGACTTTTCAAGATGGCGGAAGGACTGTGTCTCTAATGACATATTTCCCTAAGCCTTGAGGCAGGACTGACAGCATTATGGGCTGTCCCCCAAATGAGGCAGGAAACAGGGAGGAATGTATGGGGAGGGGCAGGGGGACAGCCTGTTTTACAAATGGATGCCCATTTGGGGGGGAGGGAATGGCATCTAGAGAGTCAAGTCACTTGCCAAGACCATTTTTCACAAGCTATTTGACTTTGAGATAACTGTCCAGGGAGCAAGCCTCACTGAATAAAATATGACCCACTTCTGGGTAGACCTGCTTAGGATTGTTCCCTTATGTGGTGGTGGTGGTGGAAAGTGCAATCAAGTCGCAGTCGACTTTTGGTGACCCCGTACGGTTTTCAAGGCAAGAGACGTTCTGAGGTAGTTTGCCATTGCTTGCCTCTGCATCATTACCCTGGGCTTCCTTGGTTGTCTCCCATCCTAATACTAACCAAGAAGAAGAGGAAGAGATTGGATTTATACACCGCCCTTCACTACCCAAAGGTGTCACAGAGCGGCTTACAAACTCCTTTCCCTTCCCCTCCCCACAACAGACATCCTGTGAGGTAGGTGGGGCTGAGAGAACTCTGACAGAAACTGCTCTTTTTCAAGAACAGCTCTTATCAGAACTATGGCGTGCCCAAGGTCATCCAGCAGGTGCAAGTGGAGGAGTGGGGAATCAAACCCGGTTCTCCCAGATTAGAGTCCGCGCACTTAACCACTACAAACCAAAGCCACAACTTAACCAAAGCCAACCTTACTTAGCTTCTGAGATCTGACAAAATCAGGCTAGCCCAGGCCATGCAGTTCAGGGTGTTACTTTATATAGAATACAATTATTATTAAGTATTGCATTTTTATCCCACTTTAAAAAGGCCTCACTTCAAAAAGGATGTGGACAGAATGGAGTGGGTGCAGAGGAGAGCGACAAGGATGATCGGGGGCCTGGAGACCAAGGCCTATGAGGAAAGGCTGAGGGGAATGTCCAGTCTGGAGAAGAGGAGGCGGAGGGGGGACAGGATTGCTCTCTTGAAGTATTTGAAGGGCTGTCACTTAGAGGAGGGCAGGGAGCTGTTCCTGTTGGCAGCAGAGGACAGGACTATCAATTATGGGTTTAAATTAAGGGCAGGAAGGTACCGGCTGGATCTTAGGAGAAACTCTTTAACAGTAAGAGTTGTTTCACAGTGGAATGAGCTGCCTATGGAGGTGGTGAGCTCCCCCACACTGGCAGTCTTTAAGCAGCGGCTGGACAAACACTTGTCAGGGATGCTCTAGGCTGATCCTGCATTGAGCAGGGGGGTGGACTAGATGGCCTGTATGGCCCCTTCAAGCTCTGAGTCTATGATTCTGTGATTCTTTCTCCAAGGAGCTCAGATCTATGTACATGGTTCTCCCCTTCCTCCATTTCCCCCCTCACAACAACCTAGGGTGCCAACTCTGGGAGCTTTTGTGAGGCGGAGCGTGGGGAGGAGTAATGTGGCTGACACGACAGTGTCACTGCCCCACACTGCTCTAGGAAACCCCCAAATCTCTACTGTAAAGGCTATAGAGATTGGGGCAATTCCTAGAGTGTCATGGACCCAGCTATTGGAAGTGATATCACTGCTTTGTGATGTCATTTCCCCATTGTCTCCCACTGCGAGAACAGGTGACAGCGGTTGTGGGCCACCTGATGAGTCTACACAAACCCTGTGAGGCAGATTAGATTTTGCTAGTCACAGGTCACCTAGTAAATTTCAAGCAGGAATTAGAATCCGGGTCTTCCTGGTCTTAGTCCGACATTCTAACCAGTACACCGTGTACTAGCTATTTCACAAAACAACCTTTGAGGAAGTGGAATTAATACTTTCCTTTTTTTAAAATTCTCACCAGTGGCTTGTTGAGTTCCCGATCTCTCTTGAACATGCTGCGCCGCTCAGAAAAAGAAATCACCTTTTGCGTCACACTCAAGTATCTCTGCAACCGACTTCTCCGGTACAGTTTGCAAGAGTTCTCTCTGTTTAGCCCGAGGGGCACCAAGGAAATCAGCTGTCACAGTGTTATTGGCCGTGCTTAGCAAGCTAAGTTATTTGACTCTCCCCTGTTTAAACATCTGAGACAACGGAGGTAAGGGTGAATTAGCTTATTGTTTACCTGGGGACCAATGGTTTTCAAACTTCTGATCCTCAGGGAACCCCTCCCTATACTGACATCTGTCAAAGAACCCCAACGTATCTGCCATATAACTAGGGGGCCAGGTCCCTCCTGCAAGACACCGTTAATTACCTAATTTTAAAAAATTTCAGATACCTGCAAGTGTTATGTGTAGGGTTGCCAGACCACCCACTCAGGGGTGGCAGGGTCTCCACCACCAGGCCCTGTACCCCATCAACCAATCAGTTGGCTGGTAGGGGGACTTACCAGGAGAAAAAGAAAAGCCCAGCCCCCATTGCCGATGTGGCATCGGAAGTGACATCATCACGCCAGAGACCTTTGGGCGATGCTCTGGTGTTTGGGCAAAAACTCCACGGTAAAACCAGCTTCTACCATAGAGGTTTTGCCCAAATACTAGAGCATCACCTGGAAGTCACTGGCACGATGACGTCACTTCCTATGCTACCTCAGTGACATGGCATGGGCCTTCCTCTTTCAGCTGGTAAATCCCCCTGCCAGCCAGCTGATGGACCCCCACCTTCACTGGGGGGTTCTGGTAACCCTATATGTAACCCTTGCAGGGCTTTTTTTTTGTAGAAAAAGCCCAGCATGAACTCGGGGAGGGACGGTTCCCGGCGGCACTCAAGGAAGCAATGGTCCGCCCTCTCTTGAAAAAACCAACCTTAGACCCGACCGAATTGGCCAACTATCGGCCGGTGTCTAATTTGCCCTATCTGGGCAAACTGATCGAGAGGGCGGCGGCGGTACAGCTTCAGAGCTTTCTGGATGACGCTTCTATCCTGGATCCATTTCAGTCCGGCTTTCGCCCTGGTCACAGGACGGAGACGGTGCTGGTTGCCCTTACTGACGACCTCCGGAGGCATCTGGATCGAGGCGGTGTGGCGGCACTGGTGTTGTTAGATCTGTCGGCTGCGTTCGACACGGTCGACCACCAGTTGTTGCTCCACCGCCTTGCCGACGTGGGGATACAGGGGCTTGCCCTTCAATGGCTTGTCTCCTTCCTCCAAGATCGGGGACAGAGAGTGGTAATAGGGGAACAGCAGTCCCGGAGGCACCCGCTTGA